TGGAGTCCATTCAAGCTCAAGCTGATTGCTTCAGTGACTCCATCCTTTCCCAGCATGAGGTTCTTCTTCAGGGAGTCCTTCCTTCTCATTAGTCTTTGAGTTTCATCTTTAGGTTCTGGCCTTCTAAAGAGCAGTCAGGGTTGATCTCCTCTAGGACTGACCAGTTTGATCGCCTTGCAGTCCAAGGGACTCGCAGGAGTCTTCTCCAGCATTACAAATTTATTATGAGATTATAAGACCTAAGACACTTGTTTTAATTTGTGATCTGTGGACCCTGGGAGAGGGGGGTCACGATGTCATCACAAGAGGCCCACAAAGGCTTGAAGACATCTTATGATTTAAATCTTAAGTCTTGGGAGTCCATGGCTGTGGTCCGTGGCCACAAGAGGAATTTAAAGGAAGTCCATTGGGGGCTGGGAAAGGTTGAGAACCACTAATCTAAGATGTTAATGGCTGTATAGATTCATAATCTTTAACAATGCTTGGGGCAGTTTAATTTCAGAGGAAAAAAGCACAAAGCAAGGAGGTGCCTATGAAAGAAGGAATTCCATTAGGCGTGACTCAGAGCAAAGGACTGGAGACATCCATATTGTTTTTGAGATGCAGTGCAAAAACATTACCTACCGTGTTTGAAATCACAACACTCCCTGCAGCTGTACCAAAAGAAAACAACTCAGGGAAAGTCCTTTCCTTTCCTTCCTTCCTTCTTTCTTTCTTTCTTTCTTTCTTTCTTTCTTTCTTTCTTTCTTTCTTTCTTTTTTTCTTTCCTTTCTTTTTTTTCTTTCTTTCTTTCTTTCTTCTCTTCCTAAGGTGTATGCTCTCTGCTGAAACTGTACAGATTGTACGCCTTGTAAGAGGAAATAACGCCAGCGAAGGTTTGCCCTCCTTCCAAAAAAAACATTTACATTCAAGCATGGCAGAATAAATCCAGCTGGGCAGTTTTACAAAGCCCTTGGTTATATCTCTTGCCAGCAAGAATTTGGCTCTGGGTTACTAGGGGAGTTGCTTGCCGTGATCAGGTTAAGGAACCTGATTAAGTCTTGCCCCAAATGCAATGTTGAGCAGCCTGTTTTTAGGGAAAGGCAGCAGACATGATTTGAAGATGGAAAGTGGCCATCATTGAAGGGGTCTAAAGATTAGCGAGAAGAAATTTCTTCTCTTTCTGTGAAACTTTCTATATGCTTTCCAGAGAAACAGAAACTGTTTTTCAGTTTCTTTGACCTTATTCCACCAAGGCCCTCATAATTTTTCTCCCTTTGTCTGGAATATCTTTCCAACAACCCTAACCAAGTGCTGAAAGATACAGATTGAATTGATCATAAATTGGCCTTGACTAAAAAACAACCAGCTAAATTCACACAGCACTTAAGCCTAAGCCAGTGGTTCCCAAACTTGGCAACTTTAAGACTTGTGGACTTCAACTCCCAGAATTCTCCAGCCAGCAGAGCCCTGCTGGCTGGAGAATTCTGGGAGTTGAAGTCCNTTCCTTCCTTCCTTCCTTCCTTTTCTCTGTTCTTCTTCCTTCCTCCCCTTCTTTTAATTTTTCCTTCCTTCCTTCTTTTCTTCCTCCCCCCTCCTTCCCTCCTTCTTCTTTCTTCCCCCCTTCCCATCTTCTGCAGGCATGAGAAAACTGGACCGGCAGACTTCTTTGACCAAAGGCAACTGATACCAGAATGTTCTCCAATGTGCTACTGCAAAGCTTTAAAGCTCACCATTGAGCGAGCCATTTGGACCACTCATGCAAATGGCTCATACTTTCCCCCTTCCCCCTTCCACCCAGACCGAAAGGAGTAGGAAGACTTTTGTGGAGAAGCATCTTCATCGTTCCACCAACCAGCTCTAAGAGTGTCCAGTTGGGTCTGGTCAGATTCATGCTTCGCAGCACCAACCGGACCCACCAAAAGGTCCTTCTGCCAGGCAGCCTGGCCAGGATCCTTGGCCCTCCTTGGCCCTTCAGACAGCTTCAGTGTTGATGACCAGCTCACTGCTCTAGTTGTATGCCTGAAGTGCCGGCCTTTGGACTTGAGTTGTGGGACATTGAGGAGAAGAAGATGCTGGACCTCAGTTTTCTGACTGAGGAAGAGTACGGCAAGCTGCTGAAAGTGCTGCAGAGGGATGCAGAGCTCAAGAAAAAGGACAGTGATCGGATCAGGTAGGAGGAACTTCCTGGCAGTGATCAAACTATTCATGTGTGCAGAGATAGTACAAGATTCTGTGTCTCAGATGGTAGCAGAAGAGTGATGTCTGCTTTTGAGAAACCAGAGAATTTCTTCTTCCCACTAGACCAGCAGTCACCAACTGGTGGTCCATGAGAAAATTTTGGAGAAAATTATTTGCATTTTTTTATATTGCACGAAATCAGGGGTCCTCAAACTATGGCCTGTGGGCTTGATATGTGCAATAAACATTTGTGTTGCTGCAGAGAGTCTCCCCCTTCAGGGTCTTTTTGTGTAGGTCGGAGGGGGGCAGAAATTCTGAATTGTGGTCTGCTTCAGCCGCGTGGTGTGGGGTTTTGGTCGAAGGCTGGAAGGAAGTGCTGCTGGTGGCATTCATTCATTCATTTTATTCATTTATTTGGTTTGTATGCCGCCCTATTCCCGAGAGACTCAGGGCGGCTAACAATAAAAAGGGAAGGGGATACAAAAAAACAAACAAACAGCAATTTAAAATTCAACAACAGTCGTACCTCGAGTGGGGCTGGATAATTCAACAGCCCCAGGCCTGCCGGAACAGCCAGGTCTTAGTTGCTTTGCAAAAGGCCGGAAGGGTAGTGAGGGTCCGGATCTCCACGGGGAGATCGTTCCATAGGGCTGGAGCAGCCACAGAGAAGGCCCTCCCCCGAGTCAGAGGGCCTTGTTCCACTGGGACTGTATCATGGCCTGGAACTGGCTGACCATCTCAGCCCACTGAGCCTCCAGGTGCTGGTACCTGGCCTTGCACTCCCGCAGTGTCTGCTCTCTGCTTGGAAAGCCTATGCTCACAATCCTCATGAGATGCTTCTGCTGAGCCTCCTTCTTGGCCAGATCCAATTTGAACTGAGCAAACTATTTTGCCAACTCTTTCTCATGGTGGCTGCTTAGCTCCAACAACTGCTTCCTATTGGGGCCCTAAGGAGCCCAGGCGGGCAGGTGAGGTGTGGTTTGGAGGGGAGGTGCAGGTAGAGGTCGGCAAGGCTCCTCTTATGTGAGTGACACGGAGTTGGCCATGCCCATCCAGTCACATGACCAGCTAGCCACGCCCACCCAGCCTGACATTAGGCAGATCATGTTAGTGGTCCGTGGGATTTAAAATTATGAATTTAGTGATCTCTGAGATCCGAAAGGTTTGGGGACTCCAGCCCTAGATTAGTATTTGTCAACTTTGAGATGGATGGAGTCCAACTCCCAGAATTCCCCAGCCAGCCATGATTTCGGGCTTACAGTTCTTTCTATAAGGTAAAGTTTTGCAATTTGTGTCTTTGGCACATTTTCAATGAAAGATGCTTAAGCGATCCAATGTTCATCCATATGTTCATTCAATGCCAAGCCGGGGTACATGCTTCTCCTTTCCCTGTTTTTTTTTCCTCTCCCCTTCTGCTTAGGCGGTTGCAGGGTTCGCTGAAGGATGAAAAAAAGAAGAAGTTTGTGACAGGCGAATGGTTCCACGAAGCGAAGGCCCAGCGTTTCCGAGAAGATTTGGAAGGCTCCGATCTCCTGCGAGCTTCAATTAGGAAAAAAAACAGCAATTCTGACGGTGAGCACAGAAGCCTTATGATGGCTAGGTTAACATTCAAATCACACTCTACCATCCTCTGGAGTCCATTCAAGCTCAAGCTGATTGCTTCAGTGACTCCATCCTTTCCCAGCATGAGGTTCTTCTTCAGGGAGTCCTTCCTTCTCATTAGTCTTTGAGTTTCATCTTTAGGTTCTGGCCTTCTAAAGAGCAGTCAGGGTTGATCTCCTCTAGGACTGACCAGTTTGATCGCCTTGCAGTCCAAGGGACTCGCAGGAGTCTTCTCCAGCACCATAGTTCAAAGGCCGTGTTTTACCACTGAGCTATCACAAACCCTTTCTTTCATTGATTAAACAATAGTTGAATACAGTAACGAAAAGTAAATTAATTGTATTGCATTGAGAAATAATTGTAAATCACTTCCTAACCATGAATACAAATATTAGGAGAG